GGAGAAAAGGTCAAAGGGTAGAACGCAGATTTGGCCTGATCATGGCTGGATCATAGCTTGAGAAATGTGCCTTCTGCCCTTCTTTCTTTCTCCCTTTTTTACCTAAGGTTTCTTATTAAGCCTCTTACAAGATGAAGCAGTTTACCTCCCATGACATGTACCAGTACGTAGTACTGTCCCAATTAAAAGAGAGTTCAAACACAACATTCCCTCTCCCACATGTTAGTTCTACAAATTCCAGAAGACACCAAGAATAGAGATTCCTCTCATGTTTGCAGGTCATCATGTGTGATAAGCATTTCTCAGAAAGGATCAGCTGGTAATCCTAAGGGGGAAACTGCACATTGTATGCATACGTGTAGGCAAGAGTCCCAGTACATAAAGAACAGTTTCAAGAGGCGGAAGTTCAGAGCAGAGAAGTGAGCAGTAGAAAGGAACACGTCCATCTTTGCTTGGCTGTGATTGTTCTAAGTAGCTGCCCTTAACAGCTAGATCACCGCTGGGATTCCTTGCATCTGAAAGACTTTCTTCAAACCTGTTTCTAAGCCAACAGTTTTACATCTAGATCCTCCTCCTCATGATTTGCCCCCCTCTTTTTAAAGGTTGTAGCTGAGGTGCTTTAACTGGAGGTGGCAGGGACGGAGCTTCGAAGATGTGCTCTGCCACTAAGTTAGGATCCCATCTTTGGCAGTATTCATGGTACTTTCTCTCTCCCCCATACATCGGTAACAGTTTGAGTCTGACATGCATAAGGGACCCCTGTGGACCATTCCACACAAGCTGTTTGTCCTTATAAGGAAGGGTACTCTGGGGGAGGGCAAACTGGGTGCCCCAGAATGGGTGAATGAATATTTGTTTCAAGCTTATGTTAGGAAGAGGACCATCTCCTCCTGCCCCAGGAACATGTTTTTTAAAAAAATCAGTCCACAGAACATGCGCTATACTCCCATTTCACACTCAGTATCTTCCATAGCAACTGCATCAACTGGAAAAAAGCCACTGTGAGCTGCAAAAAATAAAAATAAAAATCCTGTAATGAATGTGGAGCAACTGTCCAGGGCAGAAACATGCCCCCCCCATCTCCTAAATCATCTTTTAGACCTGGAACCACCATCTCCCTGACCTGTACTCCAGATGACGGCCTTGGAGGGCAGAAGTGTATTTTGCTACCTGCCCAAAGGTCTATCATATTTTTATCCTACATTTCCTCCAAGGAGCTCAGGGCAGCAGGTATTGCTTCTCCTTTCCTCTGTTTTTATACTCACAAGCCTGTGAGGTAGGTTAGGCTGAGAGAGACTCTCACTGGCCGACTGAACTCAGCTTCATGGCTGAGTGAGGATTTGAATGTGGATCTCCCAGATCCTCGTCTGACTCTCTCAGCACTGAAAACCTGAAGCTGCCGTATGCTGAATCAGGTCAGTCCTGTCTTTTCAGATGGGCAGGGGCTCTCCAGGGTCTCAGGCCGGGGGCTTTCACATCACCTCCCACCTGGTCCTTTTAACTAGAGATGGTGGAGACCAATGCTCCCTCTAAGCTGTGGAGTCATGTGAGCAAAAATTCTGCTTTGTGAGCTACTGGCATTAAAGTTGTGAGCGAGCGGTTTGGCTACTGCATAAATTAGTTTGCTCTGGAGCCATCCTTCCTGAGCTAAAACATAAATGTGTGAGCCGGAGGCACTAACTCAGCTTAGAGGGAACACTGGTGGGGACTGAACCTGGGACCTTCTGCATGCCGAACAGATGCTCTACCACTGAGACAGGGCCCCTCCCCAAACCTCACTGACTTTGAGCCTGACCACCTTGAGAAATGTTTAGCTTTTATCATGCAAGTTGTTGTATTTTAGCAGTGACAGAGAGGTGGGGGGGAAGTAATAAACACCTGTATTGGACCACAAAAACACAAAATTGATGTAATATCAAAATGACACAGAACCTTGTGCAAGCTTTCAAGCTCACCAGAACTCTTCATCGGGCTAAATATTACAATTATGGGTGGGGAAGCAGGTTGTTCAGATTAAGATCTTGACTTGGTCTTGTGCACTTTTGGTGTTTGATGCTGACAGGTGATTGTATTGCTGATGCTGTTTGATTCCAGCACTTGCATTCTGAGAAGGACCAAGCAAAGGAGAGTCTTCTTATTTGAAAAAACAGAGGCCAGTAAGTCCAAACGGAGGGCTGAGACAAAACTCTTTCAAGATAAATAAAATCCAAAAGAGAGGGATGCAACATTAATACACAGACTAGCATCATTCTGCACAGCTTAAAAACATCTTGTCCCCCATTAACATTTCATCAGATAAAATCACTTCAGGGGGCTGAAGTCCAGCCTGCAGGCCACCCCAGGAGTGATCCCTGATTTAGAAGGATGCTTTGCAAGAACAAAACCCAGACATTCAGCTATCCTTGGGCTTGAAAAGAGCTTCACAGGGGCAGCAACCTGGATTTCAGAAGCAAGGAGACTGGGCAAAAATAGAAATCCTTATTATTAGGCAGAAATTAGCTGCATCAAATCTACTAAAGAAGACTCCTGCAACACAGTCAGAAGCAGATTCTCCAGTGGAGTCACAGAGGAAAACTGAAAGACTATCGAGTTGTTAAGAGGCCACCTTGTACTTTCCCTGTTAAAAAGGCTGCCAAAGAGTAGCGTCAGATGCTACTTGACAATTCTCCACTGGGAAAGAAGGGCCTTCTGGTAGTGTTCTTGAAATTTCCCTTGCAGCGAGATGTAGGTTCAGTCAGCTGGTCAAGATTTGAAATGTACTCCAGACTCAGAACTGTCAGAAGCATTAGAAGCACTGAGAGGTGCATTTAGCTAAAGGGAAAATGCCCGGCAGGGAGCTGCAGAACCACAGCCTGCTTCCAAAATGCAGGAAGCACCAGCCTTCAGTCGATGATGCACACGAGGCAAAAGGGACCTTGCTAAATCTACACGTTGCCTGGAGAACCCTCCACAAAAGGACAGATGCTTACAGCAGATCTACACAGACTGTGGTGGAAGAGAAGCTGCTGTTGGGAACAGAGTAGGCTTCTGTCTATGCCATGATCCCAAGGGAGCTCACACACAGAAGTCAGGGAGGATTCTTGTGAATCCCAACTTTGCCCCCCTCCTTTAAACCAAGTTCTTAGCCCTCAAGGCTCTGAAGGTGTTTAAAAGTGTATGGAAAGCCACAAAAGAGCCCAAATAAGATATCCGGAAAAGTCCAGCAAACAAGATAGTGGTGAAAGGTGCCATCCAGTCACAGCCGACTTATGGCGACCCCGCGGGGTTTTCAAGGCAAGAGACAGTCAGAGGTGGTTGGACATTGCCTGGCTCTGCATCATGGCCCTGCTTAGCTTCCGAGATCCAAATATTAGCCAGGACAACACCCTGCTTAGCTTCCAAGATCTGACAACAATGAGCTAGCCTGGGCTATCTGGGTCAGGGCATCAGCAAACATACCACTGGTAGAAATTATGCCAAGCAGGAGGTATTTCAGGGTTGCCGAAACAAAGAGAAATTACGCACATCTGCTCAATTCATTATACAAGCTTTTATTTGGGGCGGGCACAGAGTTTTAAAATGTGCACTGCCCTGTGCTAGGGATAAGGAAAAGCCAGGTGGCTGAGATGGTACCCCATGAAAGGCTTTGCTGGGAAAAAAGACGACAGGACAAGGGTTTTATTTCAAAAGAAAAGACAGGACGCACCTGCAGGCATCGCTGCCAATCTGCTTACTCCCCCTCAAACCCTGCTGCAAGACAAATGATTGCCAAACTCTTGAAATCAGTGATTTCAGTGATTGGCTTCGATGGTCCTTACAACAGTACAGTAAGGTCTGGGGAGGCTTCTCTCCCCAAAACTCCCAATGTATGTATCCAACTGTAGTTCTCAGGAAAGAAGGAATGACTATTAAATCCATACAGGACTATAGTGCTGATACAATCCCCAAAGCCTGAGCCAAAAAGTCGAAGGCCACCAAGAGAGATCAGCTGCTCACCTGCAAGAGACAGCATTGTGCAGCGGCGAAAGTGCTGGACTAGGATCTGGGAGACCCAGGACTGAACCCCAAACTCTGCCAAGGAGGCTTGCGAGTGCCCCCCCCCCAGCCCTCCTGGATGGCTGCTGTGAAAATAAAGTGGAAGAGGGGAGACTAAGGCCGTGACCCACTGTGAACCCCTACTGGGGAGAAACGTGGGGTATAAACATCTATATAAGTATCAGGACTCCCTGTCTTACTGCACTGTTGTAAGGACCATCAAAACCAATCACTGAAAACCTAGCCACAGAAATGTTAGTGATTTGTTACACTGTCCACAGATCCCAGATGTGGCCCCCTCTTTTGTGCAGACTCCACAGATTTAAAGGGCACCCCTGAGGGTTGGACTGGATATTGCTGCTCTTTATTGCAGCCTTTGGATACGTAAACGACTGTGTCCCTGTGCAAAGGAGCTGAAAATCTAGGTTAAAAAGTGTGCCGACAGAGCAAAACATCTCCCTTTACAGGGAGAGAGAGATTAAGACATTCAGAGAGCGAACACAGAAAGCTGAAACAAAGTGGAGCTCAGCTGGCTCAGGATATTTAAGATGCACACAAGGAGGAAATAATGGGGTAGAGCGAAGTAATGAAGACAAAGCTTCTGTCTTTTTCGGGGCCGGAGGAAGACATTAGAAGGCACACTTCCCAACTGCAAGTTATTGAAAAAGCTGTCAATATCAAGGGCTTATTGAGATGGATGAAGGAAAGAAGGGAGACCTAAGGAGTTTCAGAGGAGAGCCTGTGGGTAGATCGTGAGCAGAACAGGGAAAGACAGAGGCAAGAGATAATAAAAAGGTGGACTGAATCAGAGAGGAAGACAGCAAAGAATAATTGAATGTCCTTAATTAGTAGGCAACAGCAACTAAATGCATACAGTTATCCGGGGTGAATTTGGCAGGAGGAGGAAGGGAGTGAGAGCCTATTAGTGGTGGTGGAAAGTGCCATCAAGTTGCAGCCGACAAAGCAAGAGACATTCAGAGGTGTTTTGCCATTGCCTGCCTCTGCATAGCGACCCTGGACTTCCTTGGTGGTGTCTCACCCATGGACTAACCAGGACTGCTTAGCTTCTGAGATCCAATTAAATCAGGCCACCCAGGTTAGGGTGAATGCCTATTAACACTAGAAAAAAATTAAAAATACCCCAAAGTTACTAAATAAAGGATATTATAAGCAAGACTGTATGTATGCTTTCATTTTGTACAAAGTAAAGAATGTGGTACTGACTGCAAAAGCTAGAGAATCTCTGTCCCCCCACCCCCAAGCAAATCTCTTGACCTTACAACTTCAAAGATGTGTTTGAAAGTACAAGGCAAAGAGCTGGTGGACCTCAGAAGCAAAGACTTCCTTTTTGTGTGTTATGCAGTTCATTATCCCTCCCCATCAGTAGCAGAATATTGTGCAAGAAACTATGAAAATGGCAGAATTATATAAACCATGCAAATGGGCTTAAGACTGTGATGCCACGTGTGCTTACCCAGCCCCACTGAGCTCCAAGGGACTTCACACAAGATGCTGCCTTATACCAGGTCAGACAACTGGTTCACTGTGTCCTGGATGATCCGCTCAAACTGGCAGCAGTTCTCCAAGGTCTTACTAGGCTGTTACCTGTAGTCCTTTTTAAAACAAGGAAGCAAGCTGGGACCTTAAGCATACAAAGCATCTTTTCTATGCCATGAGGGAAGAGAGCCCTTTGCTGACTGGGATGAGAAAACCATGGGTGGCCAGTTTGCTTTCCTGACCCAAGGCCCTACTGTCCAAAGTCTGAGCTTGGCAGGTGCCTCCCCTTCCTCCCAACTATTTTCTGATTGAATTTCCTTACTTTATTCCAAACAACTCAAAGCAGTGAATACTTGGATTGAGTTCAATGGCCATCGAAGTAGTTCCTGGTTTTCATAGAGCACTGAAGAAACCGTGGAAGTCATCTTCTCAGCTGAGTAAATGGAAGTCTTGGGCAGAAAGAAACAATCAATCTGACAGTGGACCAGTACTGATGGCACCCTGCCATCAAGGCAGTGAGCATAGCATGATGCGAAAAAAGAAACCCAAAATAACCCAGTTTTGGAGTACAACTAGAAAACTATTGCCAGTGGAACTTTATGAGGCTCTGCGGCAGAATGCAGCAAAATCAAAATTCTGGCAATTAAAAAAACTTCTTTAACCTCAGGGAGGAAACAGGCCCCACATGGTTGTTTCCCCAAACCAAACTGGAACTGAACACAGGCTATCAGTACTCTATGATGAATGCATGCATACCAAGAGACCATGAGCTGAAATCTTAGTATAACATTTCAGTCACTGGGAGAGGATTGTTACTAACATGAAAATACAGGTTTATTTTCCCAGTGCTGTCCAGATGCCATATGTTCTCCCACTGCCCATTGTTGTGTGCGCTGGCTTCCTCTTTTTGCCACATCCAGTGAAAGGACACTGCCGGATGGTCTCAGCTCCTGGCTTCTTTTCTCAGCCGCTCCAAGACATCCTCAGGAGTCATGGGTGCCAAAATCTTCACTGCTTTTTCTCGTGATTTAGCACCCTGTCTCAACACATTTAAAAAAGAATTTTAGATGGTTTCTCAGACTAAGATACAAAGAACACTGGGGTATTTTGAAAGCAGTATTGTTATCTGTATGTCAGAACAGAAAGAAGGAGGATTGGTGTTTAGCTAAAGAAATTAGGCACACATGAGTGGCCCACAGGAGTGCTAGTTAAGAAACAATGTAGACAAGACTAGACTGAAGGCAGCTCTCCTTGATGCGGAAGACTTCAGAGTCTAGCCTTTCTCAGAAACTCGGCAGAACTTACAACTTTTTAATGATGTATAAACTGCAGGCATCCTTTGGTGGGGAGAGGGCTATCAGTAATTTTATTACATTGATATTAAAATCGTAATGTTTGAACTGTGGCATGTAAGCCACCCTGCATCACAAGGAAACACAAAGTATAAATATTTAATAAATAAATACTCTAGATCACAGGAAGGCTCCTCCTCCCCTCAGCAGACTCAATGAATTCATACTGATCAAATGACTGCTGTCAAAGTGGCCCCTCTCTAGTAAGCATGGCGCAAGTTTCAAGAGTCCAGCATGAAACCACACTACAGAACATCAGCCATCATTATAACAATTAGGCACCATCAAGTCACAACAGACTCATGGTGACCCCAGGTCCATGCTGTTTTCAAGGCAAGACACGAGCAGAGGTGGTTGGCCATCACCTGCCTCTGCATAGCAACCTGGACTTCCTTGGAGGTCTCCCATCCAAGTATTCACTGTGGCCGACCCTGCCTAGCAACCAAGCTCTGATGAGACTGGGCTAGTCTGGGCTATTAGGCTGCTACAGAAACTATACTATAACAGAACTCAGCACACTGTACCTTTTCTAACACCACCTCACTCTTCTTAACTTCAAGGACCTTGGCAAGATAGCGGCACAACTCTGTGTTGGCTTCCCCTTCGGATGGAGGTGCAGCAATTGCCACGCCCACTGCTTCTGTTGTCAGATCTGTAATTTCAAGACCCCCCCCATAGATATAATGACTTACGTTTTTTAAATATATGTTTCAGAATCCTGCTGTCACCCTAAACCAGTAAACTTCATCACATCCTTTTAAGACGCAGGTCATGGGTAGAACCTTCAGACTCACTCCAAAAATGTTGGACAAAGCTCAGAATGAAATGCTTCTGGCCTAGCAAAATTCTACAGTGGATACCAAAGTCAAGCTTAGACCTACAGGGCAGGAGTTAGGTTGGCCTAGAAAAGCCCCATGCCATGCATTAGACCTTGCCCAGCATGCTCTGCAGCAAGCCTCTGCTCAGCACAACACAAGGAGGCCACTGCTGACACAGGACACAGGCCTTCTTCTTCCACAGACATCCAGTGAGGCCTAGTACAAGCCAGAGACCTCCAGATGGGGATCAGCCTTTTCCAGCATAAGCCCCATTCCAGTCCAGAAGCCATTTGACTTCAAAGGAAACCCAGAAATCCAGCCCAGATTTCAGAACCTGGCACTACCATCCCTGGGTTGAGCAGCTTGCCAGAGTAAAATATACAGTGTAAAGAATTAGGTTGTAGCAGAGAACTAGATCTTGCTACACAAATGTGTTCAATACCCCCAAAGGACAGTTTGGTCAAGATAATTTTCAGATAGATTACTCCCAAAGCACGATACAGTTAACTGTCTCAACAGAAAGGCAGTATAAAAATAAGTAGACTGCCAGTGCATCTGATAAACAAATCTTGTATGTTGCACAAATGTAGAATCACAGAGCTGGAAGGGGCCATACAGACCATCTAGTCCAACCCCCTGCTCAATGCAGGATCAGCCTAGAGCATCCCTGACAAGTGTTTGTTCAGCTGCTGCTTAAAGACTGCCAGTGACGGGGAGCTCACCACCTCACACCTCCCTCCATTCAGATGAAATGCCATTGACAACTACTCTTTGAGTGCAGTTCTCCAACCAGTTCCCTAGCCACCTATCTTAGAGTCCAGTCCACAGTCCTCTAGATTACCAATCAGATCATGGGGAACCCTGTCAAAAGTTTTACTGAAAGTAAACAACAGCATTCCCTCAATCCAGTAAGCTTGTCACTCAATCAAAGAAGGAAATGAGGTTGGTCTGGCAGGACCTGTTGGGGACAAATCCATGCTGACTTTCCCAGATCACCAAGTTGTCCTTTAGATGCTCACAGATTGAGCCCTTTAAAATCTGCTCCAGTATCTTCCCTGGGACAGAGGTCAGGGTGACTGGCCTGTAGTTTCCTGGGGCATCCCTCCTCCCTTTTTGATAATTGAGATAACATCTGCCCTCCTCCAGACCCAGCCGAGATCCACATGCTGTCTCTGGCAGAGACCATGTTCATAGCTTTTGGCCACTGGATATGAACAGATTGCCTCTTCTGTTCTCCCACTGTATAGTCCTGCCTTGTAATAGTTAACTGTTAATAGTTAATTGTTATGAAAACCTTGAAATTAAGAAGGGTTACCCCTTGTAAATATAAAAGTTAAAACAAAACAAAGCTATCTTAAGAAATTACATTTGGCAGCTTCAGAAACAGTATCTATAAAAAAAGAGGCTTTTCGATTTCTCATATACCTGTTACAGCATTTTGTTTAGATCCAGGTTTGGCATGAACAGCAATGGTAACATAGCCAGTTTTATCAGTTGCCACAGGGCTTGAAGGAACATTAGGCATTACTGCATCCTTAGTCTGAGCTTTCCCCTGAAAGAAAAAGCAGAGAAAATAGGACTACCTATTTGAAATTTTAGGCAGCTGTACTAATAGTTGACCACCTAATTAAAACACTTCCAAGAGTTTTTGAAAACATATTTTTTTTAGATTTAGCTCCTTGCAAGAACTGATTAACATTAAATCAAGAGAGAAAGAGGAAACAACTTGCCTCACATCATGAACAACTTCCATATGATAAATAACATCAACTTGAGGCTTAGAGCATTCAAATATTACTTCAGTTTTTGCATGCCCGGAAAAGTAAAGCAGAATTACTATCCCATGATGCAGATCTCCCTATTGCCAAGGCTCAGGGCAGAAAGAATGTTATTTAAGAACATAAGAAGAGCCATTGGTCCACCTAGTCCATCTTGGGGCCACTGGTCCATCTAGTCCAGCAGCCTGTTTCACGTTGTGGTCAACCAACTGCCCTGGAGGGACAACAAACTGGGCATAGAAGCAAAAACCCTTCCCTGATGTTTCCTCTTAGTGCAGGGTTGCCAAAGTTTACTGCCTCTGAATGTGGTAGTTATAATTTTGGTATCATCTGCAAATTTGGTCCTGTGCTGCTCTCCCCAATACCAAATAATTTACGAATACATTATAGTGCCAGTCCCACTCTGCTCACTTCCCTCCATTACAAGCATTGTCCATTTATCCCCACTGTCTGCTTCCGGTAGCTTAACCCCTTATGAATTCAGAAGGGGACCTAGCCTCTTATCCCATGACTACTAAGCTTACTCAGCAGCTTCCTGAGGTGCATTGTCAAACTGGGGTGTGTGTGTGTGTGTGTGTTTGAGGTTGAACGGCAGCATTTATCAAAGGCCAGTCATTACATCTGTGGAAGTGGTGAGTTTTGACACTTCACTACCTTAGCCTTTAGGCCACAATGGCTCAGAGGATGCAGGTACAATTGCGTGCACACTTGCTTGGCTGCAACATGCCACTGCTACCTTATGTAAAAGTCCCATGTGACACAATAAGGCATATGAATAAATGTGCTTGGGCAAACCCTGCGGAACACAGTTAGCGAGCACGGAATGAACCTATCTGCCATGGCAGCTTTGCAGCCCACAACGTGCCTTTAAGAGCGGCAACGCCTCTCCTCTCAGACCAAAGCCTGGTTCACACCGGCAGCAGAACGAGGGGAGTCTAAAGGTCTGGGACGCTGGGAGCGGGCTGCATCACTGCAGGTAGAAAGAAAATCATGAAAGGAATACTGGACTCCAATACCTGCGGGCCATCCTACCACTTTATTATCTCGCCCACGGGAGGGGAGAGCCTAAAAGGAGCAACCGGCCCGCCAACATCGACACTGCAGAGACCTCTCCCTGGACACAGAACGGCGTCGCTCTCTCCCTGCCGGCTCTATGCTTAAACGTCTCCATCCCTTCCCTAGAGCGGAACTAAGCCTGGGTCCGTCCGGGGGCACCTTAAAGACTAGCGAAGTTTAATGCTGGGTATGAGCTTTCTTGTGCAGGAAGTCTTCACTTCCGTTTAACACCGGAAGTACCCCTCAGTGAATTCTACGTGCCTATCCCGGCCACTATCCCCCTTCCCGACGCCAGTGATTGACCGGAGGCTCTAAGTCGACTTGCTAAGCCCCCGTCCTTCCTTCACAACCAACCTTCCGGGGCATGGTGCCGCCGAACCGCTCGCTCACAGCGCCCGAGAGAGCTGGCCGCAAACGCGGACCTTGACGGAAAGTGGGACGGGCCAATCCCAGCATCACGCCCGTTCGCAAACGCCCCTCTCCTTGGTCTACCCGTTCTGTAGTAGAGTGCTCCTGTAATAGTGGGGAAGGCGCCCCCTTGAGGCGGGTTCTACCGCGCTTGCGCAGAGTCTGCAAGCGTGATGTAGCCGAGGTAAGAAAAAGGAGGCTTTATGGACCTGCGCAGGGGAGCACGCAAAGCTGCCGTATACTGAATCAGACCCTTGGTCCATCAAACTTAGTCGGCAGCAGTACTCCAAGGTTTCAGGCGAGGTCTCGCATTACATCCTACCTGATCCTTTCAAGTAGAGGTGCCAGGGTTTGAACCTGGGACTTTCCGCATGCAAAGCAGATGCTCTGCCAGTGTGCCACAGCTCCTCCCCAGAAGCTTTGGAAAGTTGCTCTTCAATAACGGTCCTTCTTTCTGCAAGGGCCCTTTTCAGTCCTTTTTCAGTCCTTTGAACTGAAAAGGGCCCTTGCATGATAATAGTAAAAAAAGGCATGCACCCTGTCACACTCTGCGCATGCTCAATGCATGCAGTTCTTTAAAAACAAAATACACTCTTCATAAATATCAGCGGGACTCAAAAGTAATAATTTTTTGTTTTGAAAACAGGACTGAGTAAAAGTCGGATCTAGATCATTTTAAATGGATCCTCATGAATTCTTATGATTTTTACACTGAAGTGAAATAAAACCACTGATCTACAGTAGACCCTGTTTTAGTCTATAGGCAGCACCACAAAAATTGCACATCCACTGCTTTGTGGGGCTGCAGTGGCACAAAAATGTAGTTTCAAACCACGGATCCTCATGATTTTTGCACTGGGTCATCTGGAACTCAACATCAGATTACCTGTAATGTCTGTACCCACAGATTACACAGCAAAAATCACAGGTCTGCTGCTTTGTGGTGCCTCAATGGCGCAAAAACGTGGTTCTGAAGGACAGATCCTCATAGGTCCTCAGGATCTTTGCATTATGTCACCCCAATCTCACCATCAAATCACATATCATGTCCATGGGCACAGCTTGCACCACAGAAGTCACAAATTCATGGCAGCACAATGGCACAATCACACATCACAAAAACATGGTTCCAAAGCATGGCTATTCAGGGTTTTCTGGTGGGTCACACAAAACTCACATATCATATCCATAACCACAGATTACATCACAAAAATCAAGGATCCATGGTTTCGTGGTGCCTCCACAGCTCAAAAACATGGTTCCGAAGCATGGATCCGAAGCAGTTGGTCACCCCAAGCTCACCATCAAGTCATGTCCATGGCCAGAGCTTGCTTCCCAAAAATCACGCATCCACAAATCACACATCCACAGCACAGCATCCGTGCTTTGAAACCACATTTTTTGTGCCATTGCGGCACCATAAAGCAGTGGATACCTGATTTTTGTGGTGAAATCTGTGGCTACAGACATGATATGTGATCTGATGGCAAGTTTGGGATGACCCAACACAAAAATCCTGTGGATCCATGAGGATCCATGCTTTGGAATGTTTTTGCACCACTGTGTTGCCACAAAGCTATGGATCCATGATTTTTGTGGAGCAGTCTGTGGTTATGTGATTTGATGGTAAATTTGGGGCAACATAATGCAAAAACCTTGAGGATCCATGCTTCAGAACCATGTTTTTGCACCATGGTAGAGGCACAGAGTGGTGGATGTGTGATTTTTATGGCGCTGTCTGTGGCAATGGAGAAAATATATGATTTGATGGTGAGTTTGGGGTGACATAATGAGAAAATCCTGAGGATCATCCAGGAGAACCATATTTTTGCCATGTGGTGGTGCTATGTTGTTGTAGATCCATGCTTTTTGTGGCGAAATCTGTGGCTATGGGCATGAAATGTGATTTGATCGTGAATGTGGGGTGAACCAATGCAAAGATCCTGAGGCACAGTTGAGACACACATACATGTCTAATCCCAAGAGAGTTCCAGGCCCCTCCTGATTAGGGATGCCAGCCTCCAGGTGGGGCCTGGGGACCTCCCAGAGTTACAGCTCGTCTCCAGGGCCCAGTTCCCCTGGAGAAAACTGATGCTTTAGAGGGTGCACTCTGTGGCATTGTACTCCACTGAGGTCCCTGTCCTCCCCAGGCTCTGTCCCCAAATCTCCAGGAGTTTCTCAGCATGGATCTGGGAACCCTGCCCCCCATCCCCAGCTGGTGGTCGGAGGGACCTGACGACCCTACACCTGACGCTGGCAACAAGATGTCAACACTGAATTTGGGCCAAGTTTTTAAAGCCTAGTTTGGTGTTTAGGTTTCACAGAACTAGGCCATTACCTGAAAGTACCAGGAAGGTCAAAATACACTTCAAAAACAAGTGATCAAAATGTGGCATCCACTGCCAGAGGATGTAGTGATGGCCACAAGCACAGATGGCCTTAAAAAGGGATTCATGGAAAGGAATTCATGAAAAGGAATTCATGAAAAGATTCATGGAAGAGACTCACTGCCCATTTGGAAACAGAAACAGTGTTGCCCTACGAGGCCCCTATTATGCTTTTATGAACTCATAAGTTATGAAAAACCTGACCTGTGCTAGTTGTGTGCAAAAGGGACTGAACTATAAGGTGACTCCAAAAGATGCCAGCTACAGACACATGACCAGAAGAAGGAAGACTTCTTATGAAACAATGTGTCCATGGGCCCTGTATGTCACCATCCCTCTTACTTGCAGTGAGATGAACCAGCTTCCTAGCCACACACGCACACAAGCATGGAAAAACCAGGCTGCTGCCATGCCAGGCAAGAAGATAGGAGACCCAGACTCCATGAAGGATCCCCTTCCTGTGCACGTAAGCAACATGTTTGTCCCCACCTAATACATCACCTAGTCGAAGCCGCAGACACGAGACAACAAGAGAACAATGCCTCTGCCCAGCAGAAGACATAATCCCATCAGGAGGCCATTTGTAGTGTCCGCTGACCGCCACCAGGGGCCAGCGAACGCTCCAGAGCTTGACTCTGGAGTAACAATGGGGACTAGGCTCCTGGTCTCTCCACTGGGCGACCAATGGGACCGTGGCGGGAGATTTAAACCCACCAACGGGACCTAGGGGTGTGTTGTTGTGTACCAGTAAACCATGCTGATTGCTACATCGGTCTCCGTGGTTTCTTCATGCGTTTAACCCACTACACTTCACCATTGTTTAACTTAATTTCCCATTAGATTCAACATTGACCAGCCCTATGAACCTTGGATCCCAACACCAGTCAACATATTTTTTGGGAAGGACTACTAGGAGGCTGCCAAGGCAGGTAGCCAACCTCCAGCCCACCCCTCACCCTCCCTATAAAAGAGCTGCGCACAGGGCCGGCCGGAGGTTGTCCTGCGCTCTAGACGAGCGCAGGTGCCAACCTCCCGGCGGGGCCTGGA